TATTATTGAATTATAAACAAAAACCATTTAAAGTAAATAATTTTTAATTTAATATTTTATTTAATTAAAATAAAAACAAAAGAAAATAAAAAGAAAGAATAATTTTATGAAGTTTCTTTTAAAAGCATAAATAATTCTTTCATTATTTTAATGAAATCATTTTTAGATAATTTTGAAGTTGTTATTATTGTTTGTTTGAAGCCATTAGGTATTGTAGTATACTTTTGTTGTAAAATTAATTGCATGTTATTACAGAAAGATGGAATATCTGTAATATAAATTTCTCGGAGTACAGTAATACAATCATCTTGTCGATCTTTAGAAAAAAGATGAACAACACTTTCAATCATTGTTAATAAGGTCGTTGGTTGTTTTACTAAATCAATTGAATTTCCATCATTAATAAAATCAACAAGATTCTCACAAATTGCATGATAAGCATCTTGGTCTGGAACTGATGTAAATTGTAATAACCAATTAAATGCATATGGAAGAAATTCTGTTGGTAATTTTATTCTATTGAAATAAAAAATACAATCAGCACAGTCAATAATTAAATCATTTGTGGTTAATGTACAAAGTTTCATTGCTTCATTAAGTAATGGAACACAATTCTTTCTTAATGTTTCTTGGAATATAGAATGAGTGTATAAAGCATCTGCTATCATTGATAAACAATTAATAAGTGAACTTGCATGAGTTATATTAAAACATGCTTTAATTGAATCAATACATTGACTGAAAAATGGTTGACAATGAACCTCAATAACCATAAACATTTTTCCAATAACAATACAGGCACTTTCTAGTGCTTGTTCATTTTTATTTATTGATGCAATTTCAAGTAATGAAAATAACATTTGTGGTACCATATAATCAATGATTACAGCTGCAATTTCTTGTTTGAATTTAGAACGTTTTAATCCAATAAAAATAGTTTTCATTAACCAAAAAGCCGTCAATGTCTCATTATTAATAATTTTTCCTAATGCACTTTTCTTAATAACAATATTAGGTTCATTAAATAATTCTTGAAGATATTCATGTGTAGGTGCTGATCCAATAACATTACAATATGCATGGATATAATCTTCAAATTGCTTTTCATTTCCTTTTAATTTTCCTGTCATAACTAAACGAATAACATTAGTATAAATACCTTTTAAAAGTGATAAATTTTGAACCATTTGACTACTACATTCTTGAGATAATAACATCATTGATTTAGCAGTTTTACTTCCATACAAATCATTACCTACAAATTTTGATAAAAAGTTAATACATTGAGGAACTACTTGAGGACAACTGTCATGGAAAAATCTACCGTATTTACCAAGAACAATAATTAAACTTCTTGTAAATACAAATGGTACATTTTGTTGTTGAGAAATATATTGAATCGAAGATGAAATAATTTGAAAGAGTTCTTGAGAATTACTCATAGAAAAGTCTTCATAACCAGCAATAAGAGCAGCTATAACAGTTTCTTTATTATTAACTGAATTCCAAAGTCCAGGGAGAATATCAATAGAAGCAGAATTTCCAAGAACATCAATACATTTTCTAAATAAATAAAACGATGATGTCTTTCTAAATTTAAGAAATTCTTCTAATTCTTCTCCTTGACGTTCTTGTGGATCAAAATGTAATGAAACAACTTTTTGCATCATTTGTCTTGCAAAGTTAGTTAAAAATTCATAAAGAACTGTAGATTCACTTGCCCTTCGAGTTGATGTAGTTTCTAATAAAACAATAGCAGCCTCAGAAACATTTCTAATTACATCTTCATTAATAGTGTCAGATGCAAGAATAAGTTGATTTAAATGTTCTTTGATTAACATAGAATATTGGGAAGTTACATATTTATATAAGTCAATTGCAATTAAATAAGATATTTCAAAGAAACAATTTAATGGATTTCTTGATATCATAACAGTATAATTAGTATATTCTTGAAGAATACCAACAGCAATATTCATAATAATTTCTTTTTCTTGAGGAGAAGGAGCGTGAGAATCAATGTGAGTTAATTTTTTAATAAAAGTATCCATTACATTTGATATTGCTTCACATGAAGAAGAGCCTAATTGTTTTAATAAGAATGGAATTAATGGAGAAACTTTATAATAATCAATTGAGATAGTTGAGTATTGAATCCAAGAACAAAGACAATCTGTTGATTTATTGATTAATGAAATGTCTTGATTACAAATAGAAATAATAAATTGAATAATTGTCGGAGTAGCTTGACTTATTATTTGAATAAATCTATTTCGCATAGATATTTCAATTAAATCCATTTTACTTGAAGCATTAGCAATTTCCATAAATAAAGTTAATAACAATGGATTATTTTCATTTGAAATTGGAATCTTTTGAACAACATTATCCATAAAATTATTCCAACTAGGGTCTTGTAATGCCAATGCAACAATACATAATGAAAGTTGTTTGACAATTAAATTATTTGTTTTAAATTGAATTAATTTTTGGAAAATAAAGTCTTTTATTCCATTAAGCATATTTAAAGGAAATAAATCAAAACTATACATTAATCTTTTTTGTAATATTGTTGCACCATAATTAACTTTTACTATTTGAAGAGAATCATCTGAAGGTGTTTGCATTAGCCCTTCAAAGTATTGAATAGACTCTCTTTTTTTTAAAACCTCTGTAAGATAATAACTAGCTTGGGTTTTAAGTTGAGTATCATTACCATTTCCATAAACAATATGAAGTGCTTTTTGAATATCTTCCATTCTTTTTAAATTATTAGTTTTTTTTTTTTAATTTTAATTTTTAAACAGAATGAATTGTTTTTTTTTCTATTCTTCAGTTTTACTAATTAAAAAACTTAAGCTCAGACTTAGTTAACATATCCACATTTGCAGTTCTCGGACAGGGATAACTGCGTATATCTTCATTGCTAATTAAAAATAAGAATATAATTTAATCAATTATTAACTATTTGATTTATTTAAATTATGGTTTATTAATTTGTATTTTATTATTTTATTACATATTTTATTATACTAAAAATTAATTGGAATTAAAAAAGAGTAAATTATGGTTCAATTATATTAAATTGATGATTTTGAACTCCAATTGATGCAAATAGTCCAAACAAATGCATAGGATTACCACTAATTTGAATCTTTCCTGATTGAACCAATTCTTGAAGATTAACTTGTTTTGCAAATATTCCAAGTAATAATTCTCTAGTAACATGAGCAGTAAAAGTTGGTTGTTTATGAAGATTATTTCTAATATTAACAACGCAATTCTTAACAATAACACAATAATTTTCTTTCACATCATCAAAGAACAAATTAATTCTCCAATCAGCACCAATTAATTTTGATGGATCTACCATAATACATAATGTATCAAAAATGTGTGTTAAATTCATTGAACGAAGGACATATGGATTCTTCAAATTATCACTTTTTGCCATTGTTATTGGTTCTCTTCTTAAGTCATGTGCTCCACTTAAATAAATATTTCTCCATACAGCACATTCTTGTGAAAAAGCCATCTGAGTATATACATTAGCAAGCAATAAACGTGCTTGTTCATTATTTGGATTACTAAATACTAAATGGTTAAGTAACTCAACAGCCCATTTATATTCTCCTTTATCAAATGCCTTTTGTGCAAGATCAAGTACTTTATCTTCTCCTCCTAATGCTTCAACATATTTTTTCCCTAAGTCTGAAGGTTGTAATTGGTCTAAATGTGCAGGATTACCATCATACCATCCTATATATAATTGATATTGTCCTTTAATGTTATGACTAAGAGACCCATAATAATCTCTACAATAGAATTCCTTAGCCAATGAATCAGGTAATTTTAATAAATTAACGATTTCATTGGGAGTATATCCAAGGTTAGCATATCTTAACGTTTGGTCATGAATAAATTTATATAAATCTCTTTGTTTTTCCCAATATTCATTTACCCTTTTGTTTCCCCATGTTGGCCAATGATGTGATCCGAAATTAATTTCAACATCATCACCAAATTTCTCAATAACATGATCAATATAATTAGCCCATAATTTTCCATTTCTTACTTTTGCTCCACGAAGAGTAATGAGATTATGCATAATATGATTGATCTCTTCTGAAGCACAAAATGCTTTCATAGAAGGAATATAAAATACAAACTCAGATGGTGCCTCAGCTCCTGGAGTTTCTATAAAATGGAAATTAATACCATCGATAATAATTTCTTGTTCACCTTTAATTTCTATACATTGAGAATATTTAGGAAAAGCATTTAGTCCATGAGACAGTTGTTGACCAAGTCCATTACCAACAAATTGGGTTGGTTCAGTAGTTAAGTTTTGGCCATACATATAAATACTTCTTCTATCCATAGCAGGACCAGCAAAAATATTTTCACTGATTAATTCATTAACCATATTAGGAGGTACATATACTTTAGTCTCATCTGTTCCAACTCCAAGAAATCCACCACAATGGTCTCCATGAGAATGAGTAATGATAACAGCTGTAATTGGAAGTTCTCCACAATGTTTTCTGAATAAAGAAAGACCTGCAGAAGAAGCTTCAACAGTGGTTAATGTATCAATAACAATCCATCCTTTTTCTCCTTTAACAAATGTCATATTAGAAATATCAAAACCTCTGATTTGATAAATTTTATCTTTTAGAACTTCAAATAATCCATGAATTCTATTAAGTTGACATTGTCTCCATAAACTTGGATTAACAGTATCAGGACATTTATCTTTTAAGAAATCATAAGACTTCATTGAATAAGAAATATTACCTTCTTTGGTAAGGATTATACCATCTTCAATAGTACCAATAAATCCTCTTTGAGCATCTTCAAAATCTCTATTGTCATTAAAGTCTAATTGTCTTAAACAATTGTTATTGAGCTCTTTTGTAAAAGAAGAAGCCATTTTAATTTAAATAAAAATTTTACAGTTCTTTAGAGTTGAACAAGATGATTTTATAAATATTATTCAATTACAATAGTGGAATTAAAGATCTAAAAATTGATTGAGTTTCTAATGATAAATCATAACATTGATTAACATGATCATCTTTTTTTCTTAATACATAAAAATCTTCTTCAATGTCTAAAGCAAGACAAGCTGGTTCTTTCATATTTGTTAAATCAACAATGTTTTTATCTTCTTTTTCATTATATACTTCATCAAGTATATAATTATTAGATTTATCATTATCTTCATAACAATTATTCATTGGAATTAGTGGTGATTGATTTATTCTTTCTTTTTGATCTTGGGGTTGTTTATTTATACGAGCATATGTAATTGTTTTCTTTGGAATTTGATTTCTTTTTAAGTTTGGAAATAGTTTATTTTCTTTTTCATTTAATAATGACATTTGCTTTATTTTTAATTCATTTTCATCTGTAGGTTGATTACTAATTATATGTAATAATGAACTAAGTGCATTTCCTCCACCAACCATTTGATATTTATCATCATCATTATCATTAATAATTGTAACTGGTTGAACAATTTGAATTGGTTGGTTTTCACTTTGTTCTTCTTCTTTTTGATTTTGCTTAGAGAAATATTCTTCATTTTTGTGATAAAAACGTTGTTCATTTTCACCATTTTCTTTAATATAATCACCAATGTGTAATGACATAAATTGATTCAAAGCATTTTCAAAAGTATTTTGTTTATATAAATAAGGAGTAGAATTTTCAATGCATTGAATAAATTGATTTAAGTTAAGTGAGTCACATAAATCATTGAGTTGATTAGATTTCTTTTCCATATAAGTAAGTATTAGTTTAATGTACGGATCATTTTTTATTCTTTCAATTTCTTTATCTAACAATAGCCTATTTCTTTTTGCTTTGACATCTTTACAATAATTATCTAAACAGAGTTTAAGTTTTTTAAGATAGTTTAGTCTTGTATTAGTATTAGGTTTCATACATCTTAGTTTTCTTTCTTTCATTTTTTGAGTTAATTTAAATTTATGTTATACATCACTAATTTTTTTATGAAAAGAACAACGATCAAAAGATGTAAAAAACTAATTACCCCAACATTTAAAAATCACAAACAATATTCACATTATAGTAAATAATTAATAAATAAATTATAAAAGAATTATAAAATGATAATTTTATTCAAAGAAAAAATCCGAAGATTCTTTTAAAGAATAAAGATGAAAGAAGTGATGCCGCAAGGAGAAAGGCCTTTCGAGTTTTTTAGTAGAGATTTTGAGTAGTATTTAAGGAGAATCTTATAAAGATTAATTAAAACAGAATGGTTCATATTATATTTATTATTGATTATAAAACCCATCCAGGACAAGTAGTTAGAGTATGTGGTTCTGCTAAAGAACTTGGTAGTTGGACAGAAGGATATACTATGACATATAAAGATGGAAAATGTGTAGCAGAAGTTGATATTAACACCATTCCATTTGAATATAAATTTCAAGTTTATAATTGTGATGGGCATTTTATAGAACAATGGGAAAGTTGTGCAAATAGATTATTTATTCTTTGTAAACAAGCTGATGAAATAGTCATTGAATCAGTTTGGAATTATCCTGATGGTACTAAAATAACATCTAAACGAACAAAAATTGTTAAATCAACAATTAAGAAATCATGTTCACAAGAATTTGCCGATCTTTAAATTTACTTTCATCTAAAAAATTTTATATTTAATATTTTTAATAAAATTTAAATAAAATTTAAATAAATAAAAGAAAATATTAAATGAAGGAATTAAAAGAAATTAAAAGAATTAAAATTTGTAAAAAAATTAAAAATAAAACCATCAATCGTAAATTATTCATTTAAGGAAAATCATTGCGATAATACTGACTACACCTAAAAGCAAACAAATCATCATTATTGTCATTAACATTTTATCTGGACCACGTACTTTTTCAAGTAATCCTTTTAATTTAGCATTTGTTGCATCAAGTCGATCATTAACATGATCAACTTTATCTTCAAGAACATCTAATTTTTCTTTTTGAACATCAATTTTACCTCCAATTTCTTGTGCTACATTTTTAACATCTTTTACACCTTGAGCAAGAATATCTAACTTCGCATCAATCTCTTTATCATTTTCTTTTAATATTTTAAATCGTTCATCATCTTCTATATCAGGAAGTTCATCTACTTTATATTTATCTAATCCATTCACTGTTGGTCTTCCAGTATTAACATCACCCATTCCACTTCGTTCTCTATCCATTTTTTGTAATTGTTCGATATGTTGTTGAATACATTTAAGAGACTCTTCTTCAATTCCTAACCTATCTCTAATTTTTGGATCTTTCTATCATAAAATAAATATCTTTCATTGTAATTATGGTTTAATGACAAACTTTCTTTCTATTCTTATATACATCATTGTCATGATATGCTCTTAAGTCTTCTGCTAATCGAATTACTTCTTTCATTGTTTTACGAATGTCTGTAGAAATTTTCACAACTTCAACTTTATCGACATCAGGTTGTGCTTCCATTTCTGCTCTTTTCTCAATTAAATCTTTAGCCTCTTTAATTTGTGCTTTTAAAATATGTCTTCTTTTTCCAAATTCAGTTTGTTCATGTTCTTCTTCTGAAGTTGGTTCTTGTGGTTGTTCTTCAAGTTCTTGATAAGTGAACCCACAATCCTCTGCAATATATGTTAATTTTCTTACTAATGCGTTCATTTACTTTTGCAGTTCAATTCAATTGTCTTTTTTTTCTTTTGGATTCTTCATTTTTATTATATTTTCCTTTATTTTTTCGGGATTTTTTCCTCTTTTCTCTTCTCAAGACACTTTTTTTGATTTTATTATTTCTCTGTCTTTTCGGGAACTTTTGCTTAATTTATTCTTATTTATTTTTATATTTCTTTTTGTTTTTTCTTAAAATGCTAAATTTGGAATAACTATAAATACATTTAAAACAAAAAATAAATATTAATAACAAATTTGTATTTTTGTTATTTGAGTTATTTTTATCTTTAAATATTTCAAAGTACTGGAGTTTATTTTAATTATTATTTTTTATCTCATTATTTCCTAAATTTATGATGAATAGAGTCATAGAATCTATTTGTAGTTTCTTTCTATTTCTAAAAATAAAATTATTATTCTTTATTATTTAAAGAGAGAATAATGTTATTTTGAATGGATATTATATTTAATATTTTTATATTATAAAATGATGACACTAAAACCTTTTTTATTTACCTTATGAAAATAGTTGTTATTTTATTTTACAAAAAGTACAAACAATATTAAGCATTATAAATTTGTTTTTCTTATTTATCTTTTGTAATCTAATTTCAAAAAAAAAATGATAATAATTAAAAAGTTAGAAAGATATATGATATTAAAATATTTCTACTCTGTATAAATTAAAAAGAAAGGTAAATAATATAAAATATACTCCAAATATGTAGAACGAACATATAAGAATTTTTTATGTCACACAGAAATATTTACATTAGATTATAAATTTTTAAGATTATAATAATATAATGAATAAGTTTTTATAATCTTCAACAGTATCTTATAAAAATAAAAAAAAAATACATTATTTGAATGATTTAAATTTGTTTCTACTTTACACTCATCTTTTTTAAATTGATAAATTTTATTTTAATATTTCAAACAAATTCGTTATATATAACATTTTAAATCAATATTTTGAAAAAATAAAAAATTATTTTGTGAACAAAATAATTTATTAACAAATTTCTTAATATGACAACAATAACACCTCAACAAGCCAAACAAATTGAAGACCAGTCTAGTACTTATATATCTTCTATCAATGAAATGACTCGAGAATATATTAATAGTGAATCACAAATGAGTTATAACCACCAGCATATACCAACAACTCCTTTTTCTATGGAAATGAAACCAGAAACTCATGCACTTGATGATGCTCCAAATGATATGAAAGTTTTATTAAAAAATTGTATTATATTACATTCAAAAACAAATGAAATTCTTCAAGAATTACCAAGTCTCCAACACAAATTTATTACTTATGGTGATTATAATCCAGTAACAAAGAAATTATCAGAAGAAAAATGTGTAATTCCACGTTCAGTAGAAATGGATATGATTACTTCATTAATTCCATCAATTCATTCAGTCATAGTTTTTTCAAAAAAATGTTTTTTATTGGTTCAGTCTATTGTTAAATTTATTACTTCTGCTCTTCAGGCTAAAGTACAAAGCTATTTTAGAACTTTATTTAATGATATTGGAAGATTATTATCAGCACATACTCTTCTTGATACATCAATTCATAATAACCCAATCCTTTTGGCACATATCAGTTTTTATTATCATTTAATATCAAATTATGCAGGTGCTGCAGTTGGAGATAATCCTAATGCAGAAAAGATTGCAAACTTATTAGTTATTATTACAACATTCCAAAATAAATTTCAAGGAGGAAATGATATATTAAAACAAGACTTCTCTTTACCATCTTCTAAATTTCCATCTTCCTTATTTATTAAAATAATGCATTCTGTATGTTTGTTTGAAACTTCTAGAATCATTAAAGCAAGTACATCACCAGAAGATATTTTATCAATTATTTATCTTTGCTATGCTTATGTTTCATGGTCATCTGAACGTTCATTGTCAAGAACATTAGATAAGAATTTAGAAGAAATAGCACGTAAATATCCAGTTATATTAACTTGTTTTGATTCAAAAAGTCCTATTGATTCATCAAATCTAATAAGTAGAATAAGAAAGACAAGAACAATAAGTTTAGATGAAAGTATGAAAGTAATAAAAGATCCATCAACATTAATTACAAATTGTAATGAATTTTTATTAAAAAAAGTTTCATTAACAACAGGGATAGAACTTATTTATGAATTAAAAAGAAGGATAGTTGAATTATTATATGGATTTAGTTTAATTGGAAGACCAACACCAATAAGTGTTATTGGAGTTACATTAAAGTATTGTAATCTTATTATCAAAATTACTGAAAAAATTCAAAGAAGTAAACATGAATCAATTATAAAATTACTTAATAAAGTAGAACAAGAAATTAATACAATTAAAAAGAATAATGAAGCAGAAAAATTAAAAGATATTATTCCAAAATATATGAATGAAAATATAAATTCTAAAGAATTTATTCTAATGGAAATATATCTTGATCAATTAAGAAAAGATTGTAAAGCAGATAAAATTGATGCTATTTGGAAAAGAATAAAAGAAATTATTATGATTAATGAAATTAATGAAGAATTAAAAAATGCAACAAACATGGCATTTCTTTATTTTGTAAGATATCCATTATTGGAAAAAATATATGAAAATATTATTAAAAATGAAGAATTTTATGAAAGTTTTATTGAATTTAATAAAATATATTCATTTATTATTAAAAACCAATCACTTCAAACAATTATTGTTGGAGATATTTATGAAGCATTAAATAATGAAATTGAAGTTTTAATTAAAAAAATAATTGTTGAACCATTACAAACTCAAATTGAAGAAGATTTAAGACTTCAAATTTATGGAGAATTAAATGTTAATGATGTTAACATTGTTTCTCATCCAATTCAAGATATACAAAGAATAATTGATCATCCAATTATTATTTTAAATAGATGTATTCATGTTAAAAGTGAAATAGAAAATTCATTAGAAATTAAATTCTATAAACATTATAATTGGGATGAATATCAAAGAATGAAAGTGTTAGGAGAAAAAAAATATGGATTACATCTTTTTGAAAATTATTTAATTGGACAAACAACAGTTGAAGGACTTGATGTATTGAGAATAATGAAAAATATTCAATCTTTTGTTATGAAATATCATTATAATTTATATTCTCAATGTTTTATTGAAAGAGAATCAGATGGAAATAGGTTAAGTTCTATTGGAATTAATCAAATTGCAGAATCAATTAAAACACATGGAATGGGAATAATGAATACATGTGTCAATTATGTTTATCAATATTTATTAAAACAATTTACATTATTAAGTGAATTTTTATTTGATGATCAAATAAAAGGTATTTTAATGAAATCACTTAAAACATTTGATGGAAAAAATTATACATTAGCAATGGCAGAATTAGATATTAAAGAATTTAAACGACTTGGACTTAGAAAAATTAAACACAATAAAAAGGTTGTTAGTTCAAGTTATTTAGATTTATTTAGAATGTTAATTACATTTATTGGTAATTCTATTGGATTTGTTAGAATGATAAGAACAGGTGGATTAATGCATTGTGCTAAAACTATTGAATTCATTCCAGATCTTTTTAATATTCCTGACTTTGTTGATTTAACTTCTAAACAAGTTCAGTCAATTCAAACTGCTGCAGAAAACTTTTCAAAAATTATTTCTGAATATTCTAAATCTTATGATGGATATGACTTAAAATATTTAACTTTACTTGTTGAAATATTTAAAGATGAATTAAATTCCCAAAGGTATACTCACCTTAAACATTTCTACTTATCTCTTCCTGCATTGTTATTAACTTATATAGACTTCATTATTGCTGCTAAAGAACGTTTATTAAGAAATTCAACAAATCTTGATGTAGAAGGTTACATCATGTCTGATGATGGTTTCCTTATTGGAGTGGCTTATATTTTAAGTATTTTGAATCAAAGAGAATTATTTTATCAATTACATTTCCTTGACGGTTTAGAGAAGTTATATAATCAAAAACTTACTGATGCTCAAAATGATTTAAAAAAGGGTTCTAAAGATCAACAATTGTCTGCTACTGTTTTAGTTGCTAAGTACTCTAATTATATCAAAGAAATACATTTGTTATCAATTAGCTTAGATGATGCAATGAATCTTTTCTTAAATTAATTAATTTCTTTTATTCTATCTTTTCCTCTTTTATTATCTCTATTTCTGTATCTTTTTTCCTTAATATAAAAAAAAATCTTTCTTTTGTTTATAAAAATTAAAATAAATTCATTCAATTCAGTCTTCGTCAGCAGAAATATCAGCTAAATCAGCTAATGTCATAATTTTTGGTGCTCTCTTAGTACTTTCAGTTTTCTTTTCTTCTTTTTTAGCTTCTTTTTTGTGTTTTTTCTCTTTCTTATCTTCTTTCTCAGCTTTAATTTCTGGTTTTTTCTCTTCTTTACTTCCTTCTTCTTTCTTATCATGTTTTTTATGTTCTTTTTTTTCTTTTTTCTTATCCTTTTTATCTTTCTTTTCTTCCTGTTTGTCTTCTTTAACAGATTTAGTTTCTTCTTCTTTCTTTTCTTTTTTCTCATGATGTTTCTTTTTTTCCTTCTTTTCTTCTTTTGAAGAGTCTTTACCATCTTCTTCTTTCTTTTCTTTTTTCTCCTTCTTTTCCTTTTTCTCTTCTTTTTTACTCTCTTTTTTACTTTCCTTTTTCTCTTCTTTCTCAGCTTTGGTTACTGGTTTTTTCTTTTCTTCATTTGAAATTTCTTTCTTTTCTTGTTTCTTTTTCAAATAAGCACCTTGATAAGCTTCAGTTTCAGTTATACACTGTTTGTGTGCATCAAATTCAGGCTCAGTTTTAAATGATTTATGGCAATCAATACAAGTGTATCCACAGAATCCACGGCATTTTGATGCGTGAGCTTTTGCCTTTGATTTTTTTATAGTTTCACCACACTTATCACAAGTAAAGTTAACCATTTGATATTACTAGTTATATAGTTGATTTATTTTTCTATTTCTCCTTTATTTTTTACCTAAAGATATTTATAGAAATTTGCCCTATTTCAAAAACTATAAAGAATTATATTTTTTTATAATAATATTAATTATTTTTTATTATTAGAAACTTGAATCATTGAAAACCAAAAAATTAACAAAATGTTTTTATTTATTTTTAGTCAATCAGTGAATTGTTCTATCAATGTTCCAACAACGGACAAAATACACAACCCAATGCAAATCAACATAGCAATTCCATATACAACATATCTCCAAATTGGGATATATGCATCTGGAAGTTTTATCCATTTATTTTTATTTTTCATAATTTCAGCATCATTATCATATGTTATGACAGTAGATGAATCTTCTTTAGAGTTTTCAATATTTGTTTCTTTTTGTTCTTTAATTTCATTTAATTCAATTTCTTGTTGTCCATTAGTATTTGTATCAATTGTAACAACAACATCAGCAACACCTTCATTCTTTTCTGCCTCTTCTTTTCCTAATGCAGTTTCAATATCATTTTGAGTAAATCTTTGATTTCCGTCAACAACTTTATTATAAATAATATTATCTATTATTGATAATTTTCTGAAATTAGGATCACCAAATTTTTCAATTCTAGGCCATAACATCATTATACACATTGGTCCAACATAAACTACAAATATTGAAAAAATAGCTGATGCTACTGAGAATACTACTCCAATGTCTATTATAAATGTTGCACAAAATGTTGTTAATATAAGAATAGTAGTTCTGATCATTAAAATAATAACTCTACCATTCCATAACTGTACTAGCTTCCATTTCTTTGGAATATATCTAAGAATACCTGCACAGGTTGGGAACATTAATGCTGGATATGAAATAACTACAACAATGATCATTAACATACGACAGACAATAATTAACCAATCTACATCTGAACTATCTGGATTTGAAAAATCATTTAATACATTAGAAGAGACTTTATCAAAACTTACATGTCCACTTACTGCCATAAGAATAAATAAACTTGAACAAGTTAGAACAGAAACATAACTACCTCCTTGTAAAGCAACTAGTTTTGTCTTTTTAGATAACCCTTTAGTTCCAACATATAATGGTGGTAAACAAGAATGAATTTGGAAGTTAGCAGTAATAAATGGTGCCATAGTAAAGAAATCCATTGCTCCAGTTGGCCACAATTTTCCACTAAATGTTGGATAATTTGCATCACCACCATTTGATGATTTACCAGAAGCTCCTGCATAAATTGCTTTTCCTAAAACTACAAAAGTGGTTATTACTGCAGCAACAACAGTTAATGTAGAAATTCTATTTAAGAATTTAACTGATTTTGGAATAATAAGTGGGAAATTTAAACACACAGCAACTAAATAAAGAATAATATAATGCCATTTGCAAAAAACTCCAGCAGTTTTACTTCCATAACATGAATCCATAGTATAATTCCATTTGTCTCTATTTGTAAGGTCCTGAATAATACCAAAAAGATATTGTGTAGCAATAACTTGATAAACCATTAGAACACAAAAATAGAATAAAGTATTACAAATATCAACAATACAAGCAAAAACTTTACCAAAAATAAGTGATAATAATTCTCCCATTGTTGCTGCACCTGTAATATAAATTGCTCTATTAAAATAATTCCATGTTATAACAAAATATACTATTGTAGCAAGACACCATGCAATAAAACCTATAACACCCATTTTGTAACAAGTCTGACTTAAAGAAAGAATACCAGCACCAATAAGAGAGTTTGTAAGAGAAAATCCAAAAGAAAATGAATTTGAAAAAATTTTATACCAAGTCTTTTTGGTTCTTTGAAGATTACCAACTTCATTTCTTTTAAACTCTTTCTGTTCACAAAGTAATTCTTGAAAATTTCTAGCAATCATATCTTCTACTGTAAATCCTTTCTTTGCTTTCTTTTTCTTTAGTTTTTTAATGTTTTTAATATCTTCTTTAGATAACTCATCTTTACTTTCTCCTTCTGAATTATAACTAATTTTTTTACTTATTTTTGATTTATAAGCAACTTCTTCTCCATTATCTCTGGCAACTTCATCCTCGTCTGTAGATCCAGAAGAATCATCCATTTCATTAACAACATTAACATCTAATTCAACAGATTCTTCTTCATTTGGAAAATCATGAATACCATCCTCAATAAAGCGTTCAGGATATTCTTCAAAATCACCTTTTTCAAGTGTTTTTGAAAGGGTGTCATTATCTAAATTGCTTTGAATTACTGCTTTAGACATTAATTAAATAATTCAAGTAGAACAACCTTAAAAGAGCTTATTTCTATTCGAATTGATTCGAGAACAATTTTTATTATTTTTATCAAAAACCTATAAAATCTTCATCCCAATTTCAAGTGATCGTCTCATTTAAATCAAAACAAATTATCGTTTTGGCTTTCAAATTGTAACATTCTTATTCTTTCTCGAAAATCTATCTAATTCTTTTTTCTTCTTTGTTTTCTGTTTTCGAGTGAATTTTCTCCCTTTTTTTAGAAAAAAAGAATGAAATGACTCTTTTAGGTTGTTATCAACCAATATACCCAAAGCAATTATTTTGACCTATCAGTTATATTTTCTTTACATTTTACTTGTCTCTTTTTTTTCTCCGCATTTTCTTTTTTTTCTCCGCATTTTCTTTTTTTTTTTACCAATTTATCATTTGATGATGATATCATCATTTACTATTATTTTATTATTATTTTATTATTTTATTCGACTCATTAAAAAATCATTTATCAATCAATAATTTTCTATTATTTAGCATTCCTATTAAACACTAAGCAAGACTGTTTATTATTATTATCATCATCCATAGATAGAATGATTGAAAGCAGTTATGCCCATTCAATTCAAAATCCACAAATTCAACAAATAGTATTTTATCCATAATTTTAATTTAACATTTTCAATAACTAAAATTACTTGATTGTAAAAATACACTCGAGTCAAAAACATTATTTTATCAGCGAGATTGTAGAATTATTGTTTAATGATTTATCACACGAGTATATTTATTTTTATTTGCACGAATTTAAAGTTATTGGTATTTATTTTTTGTTAAGAATGAGATAATATTTTTTAATATTTAAGAATGACAAATGAGGATAATATTGAAGAGAGGTGAAAGTGATATGGTATTAAGGTAAGTAAATAAGAACAACAAGTAAAGGGTTGATATAAAAAATGGAAGTAGTGAGATAGATTATGTGAAAGAAACTGTAAATAACAATGAATATATTTATAATGCTTTTAAACAACAAGAATAATAGGTAATTTTGCTAATGAAAAGAAGAGGCTGAATAATAAGAAAATATTCAAAATAAGAAAATTTTAATAATACTTTCGTGAATTAACATGGAATAAAAAGACTGAAGGTGAATAAGAACCCAATGAAAGAAAGAAAAAATGTCAATTATTAGATATATCCTCA